ACTACACACACACACACACACACACACACACACTATATATATAATATGTATATATATATATATATATATATATACACATATGTATACATATATACTTACTTACTTACATACATACATACATCCATTCATACATCCATTCATTCATACATACATACATACATACATATATATATATATATATACATGCATACATACGTACATACATATATATATACAAGTTTATACTTACGCGTAAACTATTCTTTGATCGCGCAGAATAGCTTGCTAATCTGCGAGACAGGTGCTGTGGGTTCATCATGTGTTGCCGCTTTCAAAGCGCTTTCCAGTTGCCACAGATCCGTTATGAGTACAGGCATGTACAAATGTGTTAAAGGATGCGACTCACAGGTGCAGGACGCAGAGGGGTGTCTTGAACATATTTTAGGCAAACGGGACGAATAAAGTAGTGTTTTATTTGCGATAGATCTTAGTTGCATGTTGACGCTGAGTCATCGGGTATACTGCTCTTGTCGTGTGTTGATCGGAATAAAACCAGTTTACACATCCATCATTGTATTTGGTGGCCGTTTCGTCAGGAGAAAAGTGAACTTTTTCGCTATGATTTGGGGTTAACAATTTTGACGAACAACGTCGGTTGCAATCATCATATCTGGGCAGATGGGTAGGTGTCGGAACTGCGTTAGTTAGAGACATAATTACTTGGACGGCTTTTGGATAGTGTCCACACTTGTGACATGATTTTAAGATTGTAACAAACGTGTCCGCGAGTACGCTTCGCCTCTTTCTAACCTTGTGCTTCTTGCATGAATGGATAAAAGTTTGATAACCGTCACAAACGTATTTCGAGCAAGTTATAGTCGCTGTTCCACGTCGTCTGAGGTAACAGAGTATAGCATTGATATTGTTTTTATTCGGAATTCTTCATTTTTTTTAGCAAACGGCAATTTCACGTTTATCTCTCTCGTATTGTCTATAGGTTTGTACGGTAGTGGTTCATAGATACATCGCGGTACACCTGGCTCACGATGTATACGACTGCTGTACAAAAAAATTTGTCGGCAACGAAGTAGCTCTCGATTGCTTGTATCATTAGCCTGGCTCATTTGTTAGCAACAATTTCTGGCCACTACTTCTTGCGTAAACATAACTGGTGTCGACTTATATGTTGTTCACCGTAAACATCAACTGGTGTCGACTTATATGTTTTTCACCGGAAACAAAATTATTTTGGTTTTTCGTAAACCACAAAATAAGAACATCTAGGTATAAGAACTTGAGAAAGGTGAGAAAGCATCAGCTATGAAGCAGTGTGATGTAGCCAAAGCTTTCTAAACAAAAGTTTAAAGACCACATACAAAATAGGTTCTATTCACACACGCATTCCGGAGCACACCACTACTGTGGTTTATGATGACAGTCACATAGCCTAACATGACAGTTTGTCAGTGCGCAGCACAGGGCATACTATTCAAAACAATGATCCTCAAATAGTCGTGAAATGTAGGTTTCTCGGAACAAACTGGATTCGAAGTTGCAGTGGCTCAGGCCACCGTGACAGGAATTTTCAGCAACTACACCAGACGTTAGATTACTTTGATATCTGCAACCAAACTAGTATGTGATAGGCACCAAGAAACTATATACCACGACTTAGCATAGATTAATATACATACTACATTTGATAATATAGAGGTAAATGTGCGTACTACAATTTAAAACTTTGAAGTCTCAGCTTATCTATTCATCTTGTGGATCATGAATCGGGTCATTCGGGTGTGCTTGTTTAACCAAGATTCTTAACCCCTCATCAATTTCTAGATACCCTTGCTCACTCTTGCTCTATTTTTGCTCGATGCATGTGTAGTTGGCTTATAGTCTGTCAAAATATACCGTTCAAAACAAAACCTCGAAGAATAGTACATATATATTAAAGTATATGTTCCTAGTCGCCATACAGTGATCTGCCCGTACGCAGAGATACATACATATGTGTCTCACAACTACGCATCACACACTCGGCAGTCTACACCCTATGTACTACCCTAAGTTCTTAAGAGAGAACCCTGCGATTGAACTCTGCTAATGGCGCGTTATTTGAATTTCTGGATCTTTTTAATTTTTCTGGCATGTGGTTGAATTTCATACCCAATAAGAGTTGAAGAGCGTAGAGCCGTAGAGACACTGTTGCAATTTCAATTTAAAATACATTTGTGAATTGCTGTACAAATACGACTTCTCATCGAATGCTATATCTACTATAGTAGGCGGCTGGCAGCGATTGTGCTGAATATCTCCACACACCCATCAGTTGTAAAACTGCACCGAATGCTGTGTAGGTAGTTATTTAGGCATTACTACGAGGTATATTATTTGCAACAATTCGTAGTAGTTTGATATAGTAGGGTGTACGGGAATATAGTACAGTCAGCCATACTAAAACATTGCACATGATGTTGCAATTTACACACTGCTGCTCTTACACAAGAGCTCTCGTATACAATGGAACCAAATACACACAAACTCGTTCACACACTAGTATAGCGGGATCCAGAACGCAGTACATACCTATTTACAAGCACAAACTACATACTAACAAGACCAATCATCTCAAAGTCAACAGTAGAGAAGCGCATCACGAACCTACACACACTCACACACCCGCCAGACCCAGTCCTCTGCCATCTAAGTATAGTCATGACCGAAGTCGACGGAATCCACAGAAGAACGAAGCAGGCTATGTGAAAACTAAAAACAGGATCGGGCAATTGAAGCAAACCTGGGTCAAAGACTGGGTGGATCATAAGCCTGAAAAGTTGGGCGAAAGACCTATTAAGCCTTCACAGGGTGCGTATGGCCTTGGGTTTACCAAACTGAGACATGGCGAAGTTGAGCATCATTTCAAAGAATTGAAACAAAGACCAGGTAGCGGGGTCGGGACAGCAGCGGCCGATTTATATTCGCACAACTTGGGGGATAACATAGGTATGCTTATCTGTTCATAATTGTGCGTGCATGTGTCGATGAAGCTTGATAGTTTTAGAATATATATATATATATATATATATATATATATAATACACACACACACACACACACACACACACACACAC